TTATTTCCAAGAATTCGCAACATTTTAAAATAAACCTTAAAACCCAATAACAAGTCCTATTCAACTGGGACCACACTGTTAAATTCAGAGTTCTTTTGTTCGTTACAAAAAATAACTTAATATTTGTTATAATACAATATTTACGACATTTACATATCGAATGCCGACACGTTTCTTCTTGTTATTCAACGTGGAAGTCACTTATGTATGACGGTGTGCGAATCACTATCTAGATATGTAAACTTGGTTTTACAGATTGCGTCCGACTACGTTAGAATATCAATATCGTCTTTGTAAACAGAACAGTATCGCTTGACATAGACACTGGAAATATATACCAAATATAGCCGAAATACACAAAAAAAACTGTGGAGTAGGTATAGTAGCCAGAAGTGTTTCTGGAACATTGAAGAACCAATAAACCTTAAAAAAAAGAGCGTACTCCTTCCTCAAAGGCCGGCATCGCATTTGTGATACTCCTGGTGATGCAGATGTCTATGGGCAACGGTGATCACTTACCATCAGGTGAGTCATAAGGTTGCCACCCGTACTTTATTATTAAGTATGGAACGTTATTTTGGGTACTTGTATTCTATTCTTTATCTAAACTAGTACTTCGCAAAAATACTTTATTTTGTGTGATTATAATTCTCGAGGATTAATTTTACATAAAACAAAACGAAAGAAAAAAATAAATTCTGAATTCGATTAATATCTAATTACTTATTTATTTTTACCTAAATGCTGTGCATAATTTTTTTAGTAACAATAATGATTTATTAAAATTTGCTAGAAGCAACGAAAAAAATATGTTTAAGCATGCTAGTAAGGTGTAACCTTTAATATCCAATGTACCGTATTTGGACACAACTTAGGTGGTAACCCTATAGCCATCTGCTCGTAAGCCTCCTATAATATAAAAAAAGAAAAAGAAAATGTGAATAAAAGTTCTTCGAATTCTTTAAGTTTAAATTTTTTCAGAGCTGAATATTAAGATATTGTTTATCATCAAGCAAATACTAAAATAAAATTTTAGATTATACATTCATAAATCACTCAGAATATAAAATCTCTATTCGTATTATCATAATTGTATGTGGTAGTTTTAATATTTTTATGTAAGTACCTAAAGTATCAAATATAAAATTTACCATTCAATTCTAATGAAGTCAAGCAAAACTCAAGAATACAAGATCTCAGCAGACATACAACTGTTTACTTGCGCATTTAATAAACAACATAAAAGATACGTGAACATAAAGCTATAAAATGTTATGGCAAATATCCGTGGTATTCATATTCCTGTTCAGTTTTTATGGGAGCCGGACATATCTTTGGGTCTCGTTGGGTTTATGTGACCTTTATGGGTGACGCCGACGACGACGACGGCCGCTCACTAAATTCTTACTTTTACGCGTTCATAATCAGATTTCGTTCTTTCGTTGTTTCCAAATTTGGTATTGGACCTACGATATACAATTTTTTATATTGTTCCTTACGTTCTATAGGTCGAACAGTACCCTTAGCACGTGTCATTCGGACTCAATGACATTTCGGACTCGCAAACTATTGGAATTAGATATTAGTTCGTGCTAGCGGTACAGAACAATCAGCAGAACAGATTGTAATCACACTAAAATTATAAAGGCGAAAGTTTGTGAGTGTGTGAGTGTGTATGTTTGTTACTTCTTCACGTCTAAACTGCTGGAGTGATTTTATTAAGATTTGGTATGGAGTTAGCTGACACCCTGGATTAACACATATGCTACGTTTTACTGCGGGAAAATATCCCTAATAAACCGCGGGGCACAGCTTGTGGGCCATATAATAAAGATCATATTTTTATATCTAACAATAAATTCATTAAGTTTCTGACTAACTGAAATGGATACATTCTTGCCATACCTATTTCTACACTCGATCCCCATTCTTACAGAGTGAAAGGAAGTGGAGTTCGATCGCGAAGATTATCTGATGATGCAGCAGAAAGTAAAGTGATTATAGTAATCACACCTTACCGGTTTTGTCTCAATCGTCTACCCCGTGGAGCCCTGGGACCTTGTCTCAGTCACCAATGTAAACACAACGCAAAGGTATAACATACAGGCCTCTGCTGAGTCCTCCAAGCGGCGCAAATATTTAGCTCTCAATAAGAACTACATATTTGTGCCGTTTGGTGTTGAGACTTTGGGACCAAGCACTCGTTCCTTTTTTAAGGAAATGTCTAAGATACTCACCGATGTGACTGGTGATCAAAAGGCTGGCAGCTACCTTGGTCAACGGATTAGCCTTGCTATCCAACGAGGAAATACTGCCAGCCTATTAGGCATCATTTCTGACGGCGGCGCTGTGGCTGATATATTTTTTATTTTGTAAATTGTATTTATTTAAGTAGGTAAATTTTAATATATTATTGATTTAAAAAGTTTTGAGACATTAAGAAGTTTTAAGCTTTTACAATTTAAATATTTCTATGTCAATAAACAATTTAGCTATTTTGCTAGTAGAAACGCAAAGGCAGTGTTAATTTACTGGAATTCCTTGAGCCACTAATTTCTTCTATCCCCTCCTCTAATTTCTCCACCTCTATTTTTTGTTGCTTTATTATTTGTGTGGCGTTAATTAAACATTTATTTATTAATATTTACTAGCGTCCGCTCGCGTCTTCGTCCAAGTCAACTTCAGTTATTTGAGACACCCTGAAGAACCTAAAATTATTTTGCGATAAAAGGTATCTTAATCCAGGTCATAACCTATATGGGTACCAAATTTCAAACAAATCCATTCAGTAGTTTTTTTGTGATTAAGTAACAAACATGCAAATAGACAAACATACAAACTTTCACACTTATAATATTAGTAGGATCGTTCATAGGAAATAATAAATAAGATGGAAAATAATACTCAAATATGCCAACTTGTGTCGATTTAATTTGTAAATAAATCAATAGAATCTTGCATTCAAGCATTACACATTACAAAATTTCTTAGATAATTACAATGATTTGCAGGTACCTAACTACATGTTTGGCAAGTAGATATATGATGCCAGTTACACTTGTGAATCAAATTCTAACAAGGTATATCCTGAAAAAGGATACATTATTATTATTTATTGATTGAGCAGCAAATTATATAGGAAGATATAAATGAAAAATAGACAACGCATATAAGTGTTGAAAATACCAAAAGTAGAGAGAAATACGTATGTGCATTTAAGTGATAGTGGAAAATTCATAAAGAATCTAAAAAAATGTTTTTTCATGTTTATAAGAATTAAGTGTTAAAATATATATACATATTATCATAAGCATATATTCTATTTCATATGAAGTTTCACCCCTAAATTAAAATTTGAAAATTACGTTAAGAAATACGGTTTTGATTTTTTGATTTAAAATAAATAATCTCGAAAAAATGAAAAAAAATATATTGAGATTAATGTAAATAACATTCATATTAATATTAATAACAGATAGTGTCCAAATACATTGCATAAAAAATTAAAGGATTTTAAATTACCTAAATAAAAGAATCAGAAACGAGATTTAACATACCTACCATTGCATTGTAATATTAATTAGTACTAATTTTATTTTAAAGTAGGCATCTAGTAGCAAATAAATTATTTAAAATTGACACTTTAACAGAAATGCTTTAATTAATGATATAATTAAGGGTAACAATAATTTAATTTTAAATTTCTAACACTTTTTATTAGCAAAAAAATTTAACCTTGTTTTATCGAGATCAAATAAATTTTGTATATAACACCGACTGATAGAGTTTTCATTAAATTATACTTATCAAATAATAAATAACTAACAAAAATTCATTACATTTTAATGCATTGAGTACATATGTAAACCGATAGCCTCATATTCTATCTTATTTGAGGTTTGGTTATGCCTCCAAATGTTATTATTTCTATGATATGTAAATTGAGCTTTGAGCCAAGGTAACAGACTACGGAACTGTTTTTCAAAGTATTTCACTAGAGATAAAGTTAACAGTAAAAAAATGTCACCGGTAGATATTTTCTACAAATATTTACACCGTTACAAGTACACCGATCAAAAACGATTTACAATTTTCAAAAAACTTTTGAATTTTAATGTTTCATTAATTTGTATTGAAAAAATAACAATAATTTTATTAAAATACAAAAGTTCCAAAATATTTTATCAATTAAATGTTTTCAGTTCATCATAAAGTTTTTGATGTGAGTGTGTGATAAAAGAATATATATATTATATATAATTAGATAATATTTATTTAAATAAGATAGTTATGAAGACATTATAACGACACCAAGAAAAGGCAGATACATTAAATAAACTTCAAGATAATAATAAGGCGCCTAAGTATTTAATTACTTAAAGGTAACAATAAGTCATTGATTGATTGACCAGTAGTTGCAATTATTATTATTTTATATTCGTCTATTTATACATTAAACTTAAAGTTTATCTAAATTATGTACAATATGTTGCACTTTCACTAATTTCAAAATAAACACCACAAGAGTTTAAAAAACAATATGGATATTTATTAACGCCAAGTTACCCCGACAATACTGTTTACTTAAAAAATAATATTTATCATTTTTTTCTTAGGAAAGAATCATATGTTTCATCACTTTGTATTCTTTCGCTGATTTGGCATTGTTAGTTAATGGCAAATTCATTCATTATAATAGTGGAAAGGTTCTTAAATTATGCTCAGTATCTCACATATCATTTGGAAAATCTTTGGCACTATAAACTTACGACTAAAAGTCTCTTAGGCAGAACCAAAGATCTTGCATTGTTTGCTCTTACATACTAATATCCCATTTTATATACACCGACTAGCAACCCTTTACCGATGAAAATTTCATCTCCCTCATTTAACGATCAAACTCGACCTCAAGTCGTTTCCGTCGCAATTTTCATACACACCCTGCAACATGTGTCTTAAACTATATACCATTTAAAAGTCCCGTCAAATTCTACGTTCGGTCATACAAAGTCGTTTACTTCAGCTTGCAAAGGATTGTTAGTTTTATCGACACATTTTCTAATGGCGTCTAGGATGGTGACTATTCGTCTGTCCAGAGCAGCTAAATGTGGTTCCCAGAGAATAGGTGCTACTGGATCTATCTTCATGGACTCCCGAAGGTATTTCGAAAGTGGAATTCCGTTGTGGAACCTATAATTAGATTAATAGTATCAGTGAAGTTACTCGTAATGATACAATATTGCTTCCGAATAAATAAATGCAGCACGTTACTGATAAAATAGTTAAGAACAGAAATTTGGAAGTGTTGGGCGTTAAAAAGGTTTTTAAGTTTATTTACAATTCATTAAAATTTAAAAAGAAAGTTTGCTGATTTTAACCAAAACGATGCCTACATGTTTAACTAATAATCCAGACAAATATAATATCGAACAAGAATAAAATATTAATGTTTCGATAATAATACAAATAGAACAATTTACTTGAGTAAGTTCCGCAATGTGGTGTGCCTGAGGACACAGCACTGCAGTAAGGGCGCGAGGATGCTCAGTTCGTCGTGGAACGCCTTCCCGAACGCTCGTCCTTGGTCCAAGTGCAATGTGAACGTCTCATTGCCGAACATTCTAGGAACAAACTCAACGTAAAAAACCTCAACAACTAACTTAGCTATCATAAACAGACACATTCTTCATTATGAAGATATTATCATACATTAAAAGTCCCAAGCCTGGTTTGATGTGAAAATGCAAAATTATTGTAAAGATTTTATTACACCTTGAAGTCTATAACACAAGACAAGAGTCTTTTTTGTTGACCGAAACGTGAATTTACTTATAGAATTAAGTTGTAAGAGCTTTGATAATTGAGATGTCTCTTGGCTGCATTTCATGCAGTCTTCTAAAGTGTTGATACAATCTGCATTACATAGGTATATATATAATCTAAATAGCTTCAGAGCGCAAAAAATAATAGTGTGCGCTGTAACAACAGTATTCTGTGGTATTGTAATTCTGAATTGTCTGAGGTCACCGGTATCGAAGAAAGGGGTTTAGAGTCATACATCGCATTTAATTTGACACCAGGAAAATCAGTGAAAGGCTTACAGCCGTCAACTAAAAATGTCTTCGCAACTGCATTCCACCTACACTCGACATCTGGTTGAGTTTAGTAATATGACACAACTACTGAAATTGGTGTGGTTTATAACCACGATGCAAGTGAAACTTTTTAAGTGTTACCATAACCGTATTTTTTTTTCTAATCGTAGACATTTTACTGACATTATTCGGAAAAATGTTTAAAATTGATGTCACTCCGGCTTATTAAAAAATAATAATAGTCCTTCCACAGCTGGTAATGGATCCCGGGCCGCCTGAGTGGCTAACGAACTTTCTACCACTAAACCACCGATGCTTGTTAATAACGTTTGATTTTTTAATAACAGTCAAAATGTAATGTCATGTAAAAGATGAACAAAAAAAGTGTGGCGATGTAATAAAAGTTTCACTTTAAAACGGTCTAAAAATATTACGTACTTGAAGGTTTCGTAGTGGTGCCGGTCCATATTGCCGGTGAGGAAGTCGAAGACGGCCATGTCCATAAGGTCGAGCAGCCGCCGGCCCGAGTCGTAAGGCGCCGTCGTCCGCACCTACACAACAAGGGGCCTACTCTGAAACTATCGTGAATAAAGTTTCAAACTATTTCGAAACCTACTTTTAGCGTACGTTTATACGTTGCACCACGCGTATTCCGTACCTTTAGCACGAACTAATATCGAATTCGTAACGTTTGCGAGTCCGAAATATCATTGTCAAATGTGTACTGATTTTTAGTTCTCCATACGTACTTGGTGGCGCTGCTGTTCAAGTTTTCATACAAAATTTGACATTGACATTTCGCACTCGCAAACTATTCGAAAATGATAATGGTTCGTGCTAGAGGTACTGAATTCAAACAATGAAATACGTATTTTTTCGTGTAGTAAATAAAGTTGTTTCGAGTCGATCTATTAAAATGTGCGTGCAGTGTCACGTTACGTCGCGTCGTGTGTCGGTGTGAACTGACGCTTACATGATTGTATTTTTATTAAAATACTCTTTTAGTGGGTCGATGCATAATGTAAACCGGCTCCGTAACGATAAGGACAAAGAAAAAAGATAATTTATTGCGCTAAATAAATGTACAATCAGTGTTTTAGCTAATAAAAATGATTGACGTTCGTAAAAACTTAAGAAATAAATATGGTTGTTATAACTTCACTTTCGTATCCCTATCGGGGCTGATAGATTCAAAGCAAAGGTTTAAATATCAGTATATTATTGGTCCATGGCTCAATGTATCACCTGAGTTGATTTCAAAACTAATTTATTCATTTATGAACTTCACTATATGCGCGCACGAGGATTACAAATTGTTATAATCCATGTTTTTGAAACACACTAGTTGAACACAAGAAACGTTCTTACTAAGGTTATTTTAAACATTACTTGATGATTTTCGATCATTAATAGGTGCAAATCAAAATACAACCCTTGTTACTTCAAAGTACATATTTCTAAAATATATTTGATCGAATTCTTAGAGCTAATTGAACCTGAATTACACGAAACTTCGTTTAAGGACATACAGAGTAGATCACCAGGTGAATCACGGCACGCTGACGCACCGAACCGCGTGAGTAATATTAATGTGCACATGCGAATATGAATGCTAACTGCACAAACGAATGAGACGGTAAGATTCAGGATACATCCTACATCAAACCTACATAAAAGGAAACGACGTAAATTATTTAAATTTCTGATTGCTGCGCATTTTTCGAGCTGATTTTTGATGTGGAGCTTCTTTTCGGTAAATGGAAGAATTGAAACGGACATGCGTCACGAGCGTCACACGAAAAATATAAATATATATGTGTTTGTGTGTGTGTGTGTGTGTGTGTGTGTGTGCGTGCGTGCGCATCTCTTCCCGGTGAGCATGGAAGTTGGAGGGTAACTTGGCGAAGGCTGAAACGCTTCGAGCGTCACGAACGTCACGCGCGACAATATAATACATATATACACATATATGAGTGATGCCTGCGCTGCTCCATTCCCCTATACCTTATGCACCGCCTAATGTTAGGTTATTTAACAAAAGAAACTTCACTTCAAATGTGTGGACACAATATTTTTTGTACTTAAAATTAATACGGACAATTCATCTCAATTAAGAAATCTTTTTGTTGATTGTGGGAAAACAAATGCTAGATTTCACATGTAAACATTTTACGCAGTTAATAAGATATTTTACACCAGTCAGTAGTCTTTGGTTAAGTCGAGTTGCACCAACTCACTTTAATAAACTTTAACTGTTCAGTAAAGTACCTACCGGTTAGGAAAATATGGGTTACACCATTTCACGATGGTCACAAATGAGGTCATAATTTGACAGTGATAATTAACTGTCCAAAGTTATAGTAAATTTTAACTTTAGCTATCTCTGTGGTGCAACTCACACTTAGGTTGGTGCAACTTACGCTATGTGTGAGTTTAAAGTAACTCAGTTTTATGGTTACCCACAAAATGCTTACCGTATCGCAATAATCAGACTGCAGTTCCCATTGAGCTTTTCTTCTCTTGTGATAAGATCTTCTCCATGGATGTCTCCATACCTTTAATTATATTTTCTAAGATAAATTTTAAATTGCAATAAGTGGCTTGCTGCGTTATTTTATTATTATTATATTACTAACTTATGTCCGCAACTTCATCCAAAGTAATTTTAGTTTTTGTGAATTCCAGAGCTGAACCTAACATTCTGGGATAAAATGTAATGTAAAATGAAATCCGTTCAGCCGTTTTGTATGATTGAGTAAAGAAAAATAATTTTTTTTTCTTCGTTAATCAGGTATATTCTTTTTTCACATAATATAAACATTGCAGAGATATATTGATTTGAAAAGTCGCATGACGTCACGTTTTGGTACAATTTTCACATAAAAGTGACGTCACGAGCCCCCACTTCCAAACTTTGACGCGCTATAACTTTGTCATATTTGACATATTTGTCATACACAAAGAAAAAATACGTGTCCATTATTTTTTGATCATCTAACATCTAACTGACGGACTAAATAGAATTTCGTTTACTGTAGCCCGTCATCACCCCTATTAAATTGCTGATAGCGTGTCCCATGTCACAGTAGTACTAACACTTCCCGTGGAAGCAGAAGTTGTTCGCGGGCGACACGAATAACGTCTTGAGGATGTCACCTTCGGTGACGGGACAGATCTTAAAAATATGGTATTATTTAGTTTAGGTATACCTTTCGTTCAGCCAAATCGGAAGACGGCAAGAACGCAGCAAAGCTCCCCTCCAACATATCCGGGTTGCCGCAGATTGCATGTCCCGTGTCACAGTAATACGAACACTTCCCGTGGAAACAGAAGTTGTTCGCGGGCGACACGAAGAATGTCTTGAGGATGTCTCCTTCGGTGACGTCATAGATCTCCGTAGTCATGTTGAGCACTCGGCCCACGACCGGCATGGCGCGACGGAAACCTAATATCCTGGACGTAAGATCTATTATGATGTACGTGATATTCTATTTCTGTAATAATAATACTTGAGTGGGATGAATTATTAAAGATCAGACAAGGAATCTTCGTAATAAGATACACAGTGCCGATCCCTATATTCAGTCCTTACTTAACCCACATCGCGGATCCAATGCAGGTTGATGCAGTCGGTACAAACGGCTTAGCATTCCTTCCGAAGCACGAAGGAGCTCGAGATAACAAATTTTTGGTCACTTATCCGATGATCGGCCGGCGAAAGTTAGGTACATAACTTCGAGAATAGAATATTTGACACGCTAACTACTTGCGCCAACGATATCCTCTTTGTTGAGCATAATTGAATATTTATTTGTTTAAATACAAAGACATTCATATACTTTATATATCATACTAGCTGACCCAGCGAACTTCGTACCGCCATAAAATTAGGGGTTGGTGGTAGAAGGGTGAAAATTAATGGTTAGTATAAACTCTATTGACGCCAAATCATTAAAAAAAAACAGAAAAACAAATTAGGTTGGACCACCATTATCACCCAGGCGTATGAAAAATAGTTTCCGTCCTATTCTCAGTCCTACTGATTTTAAACTAAAAAATTCATAAGAATCGGTTAAGCCGTTCTGGAGGAGTTTTGTTACAAACTGACACGAGAATATATTATCTACTAGCGGCCGCCCGCGACTTCGTCCACGTTAATTTTTGTTTTTCAGACTCCCACAGGAGCCTAATACATTCCCTGGATAAAAAATCTCCTATGTCTCAACCCAGGTCCTAAACAAAATTTTATCCATCCGTTAAGTAGTTTTTGCGTGACAAACTCACATTTATAATATTAAATATGATTAAATAGAGACAGCTCGTTAAAGATACTTATCTGCGTACGTCAACACATATATTTTTGAGTGTATGTTTGATAAGATAAGGTCTAGTCTGCAATTAGTTTGAGCTGTCCCTGTCAATGGCCACATAAACTCCGATATTAATATTAAACACCTATAACGAAATATTATAACATACATATTATAATAAGATTATTTAGTGATAATATTAAAAAAAATGCACCGCTGAGTTTTTATCATATTAAAATGAACTAGAAACCAGCAATTTTTAAGATGAAATTTGTAAGGTTGTAGGGTAATTTTTGGATCTACTGTGTCATAGGCTATATATTTTAACAAAAACTCAAATCTACAACAAAGCTAAGCGAGAGCGAGCCGCTAGTTTTAAATAAGTATATAGGTACTAATGAAATATTAGAAAACACAGCAAGTACCTGAATGTTCAAGGTATCGTATAACAGTTTCTCATGCCTGTCCCCATAGCATGGGCACCACAATTTACATTATATCACGTTTTTTTATCGCGTCGAACTGTCAAACTCCATAGTAATTTGACAATTGAGCATGATAAAAACGCGATATAAATCATATCGCGGTGTTCATGCTAGGGGGGCTGGAGCATCCAAATTAAATTGATTTTTTCCATTAAAACTTTCTTATATAAAATATATAGGTAGCACTTTAGTCCCCAAAATAAAATACAATATTTTTAATGTATTTCTATCATTTCGGGTTTATTTTTCTATAATACTTGGAATTTGGCCCCACGCAATGATGACGTCAAACTACTAATAACTAACTAAAATAACGGTGTTATTATAATATTTCAACGATATAATGCAAGTCCTTTTAAAGATATGTGTAGAAGTATTTTTGTAGGACGGCAAGGTGAAGATATGTCTGCTGATATTGCAGGTTAAAATGCTGAACTCATACCAGCATCTGGATTTGGGTTTGACGTTTGGGTTCGTTATTGGTCTTTCCTAGTTATGAGCTCTTCTGGATCTGACCTCTTCTTATAAGCCTTGTTCTGGTGGATATGAACCATTTCTGCTTTTGACCACTTTCTTATTTGTCTACCTTTGTTACGGTATGCAAAAATACGCAACTTTTTTTGATATGAGTATATTCGTGTGAACGTACCGAACGAACAAGAAGTAACCTTTAAAATAAAAAGAACTCTAATACTTGTAATATAATAATTATCACCACATCAAAAACAGAACTTTATTTATTTATTTGATCACCAACAAAGTTACACCTAGACATTTCTTATTTACACATTTATAGTATGACACTTTATTAGTATTTATAGATTGTTATATTCTTTTAACATACATTTTTATCCTTTTGCACACTGTAATAAGACAAAAACGAATCCAGGAACAGTCATTTTACAAGGTAGTCTTATGGCCCGGCTAGACGCTCCTCTTGGCTGTGGCACAGTTACAGTTGCCATAATTTAGTCGGACTGAAGCGCGGCAAAACCGTGCAAGCCAAGTTTGCGCAGTCCATTTTTAGCATGTCAACGATCGCACAAGCCGCGCTTCTGGGCCTGCGCGAGCTGCCGTCCATACACACCCACTTAACTGCGGAAACTGGTTTGCCCAGGCATGCTCACTGGCAGGCAAGAAGGAGCGCATAGCCGGGCCATCAAGTAGAAGTAGTCAAAACCCGAAATCAACGTACGCAGAGGTAATCATTTCAAGAAGTCTTTGGCAAACGTCTATCCCTGTATTCCTGCTCCACCAACCAGCTAACATGAGATGGGTTGGAATCATATATGCCTTTATACTATATAGAAAAGTATCGTAGTCGTAAGTCATTTAATAAAAACACTAAATTAGTGATGCCCTACGGTTTCATCCGCATTAATTTGGGGAATAAATTATAGTGGGTCACCCTTAAAAGATAGACATAATTATGCTGTCGCGTATTTGCGAGAACTTTTTAATGGTAGCAATTCCGTTATACCGTTTCCATCATGATTTTTGTGTAACTTTATCCGTTACGCAAAGAAAGCTCACAAATGGCATATTTTTTTCCGTTTTTTTGCAACATTTTTCATTGGTGCTCCATTACTATTAGTAAGAGTTATTTATCGTAGAATTTTTGAAATCGGACCAGTAGTTACTGCCATTATCGCGTTCAACTAAAAAAACTATTCTTCTTTAATAATATGACTATAGATTGGAGTCTTACCTGTCGAGATGAAAAGCAGCTATTTCAGCGTTGTGCCTTTCGTAGTCGGAAAAGTAGAAATGGTTTGGTAAAGTTTGAACGTCTCTTGCAAACCTGTGAACAAGGATGAAGACTTTATAATTTGTGTGATTAATATCAAAACTTAAGAAAAGAATATTTTAATCTAAAGAAAAGTTTACTAGAAAAAATCCACAATGCGAAGAGATGGCGCTGCCTTGCAGCTTAACGCTAGGAAAATTTCGACGCGGCTAATAGGGCCGTGGTAGCATAATGGTCAGTGCATTCGCCCGGATTGCGAAGGATGCGGGTTCGAGTCCCGTCCGCTGCCTGGTCCGCGTGGATTTTTTTCTAGTAAACTTTTCTTTAGATTTAAACATCTAGCAGTTAAATGCTTAAAAATAAATAAAATCATAACTATAATTGCTATTTCTTCTTTCAAATGTTTAATACTTGAAAAAGTATTCATTTGACATTGTGGGTTACCTACAATGCGAAGAGATGGCGCTGCCTTGCAGCTTAACGCTAGGAAAATTTTGACGCGGCTAATAGGGCCGTGGTAGCATAATGGTCAGTGCATTCGCCCGGATTGCGAAGGATGCGGGTTCGAGTCCCGTCCGCTGCCTGGTCCGCGTGGATTTTTTTTCTAGTAAACTTTTCTTTAGATTTAAACATTTAGCAGTTAAATGCTTAAAAATAAATAAAATCATAACTATAATTGCTATTTCTTCTTTCAAATGTTTAATACTTGAAAAAGTATTCATTTGACATTGTGGGTTACCTACAATGCGAAGAGATGGCGCTGCCTTGCAGCTTAACGCTAGGAAAATTTTGACGCGGCTAATAGGGCCGTGGTAGCATAATGGTCAGTGCATTCGCCCGGATTGCGAAGGATGCGGGTTCGAGTCCCGTCCGCTGCCTGGTCCGCGTGGATTTTTTTTCTAGTAAACTTTTCTTTAGATTTAAACATCTAGCAGTTAAATGCTTAAAAATAAATAAAATCATAAAGAATATTTTGTATGGTTTTTCCATGGCAAAATATTTAAATTTGAGTGATAGCGTTCAGAGGGTTGACATCGCTGCAGAAAATTCTTCTGGTTCGTCGGATAACATGACAGTTACGCATGGCCACATCCGTATTTTTAATTAATATCAACGACTTGCCCTGTTTTGTAAAGAATAACCACGAAATAGTATTGTTTGCGGGTGACAACTTATGTTTAAAATTAAACGAAGGCAATCACAAATTGACGACGTGAACAAGTCTATTTCTAAGGTAGTCCACTGGTTCAATGTTAAAAATTTACTGCTAAATGAAGGGAAAACTAAGTGTTTCAAATTTGTATTACTTAATGTCAAATTCCAAAAAACCAATGTAAATATAAAGGATCGAAATATGAGCCTTGTAGACACAGTAAACACAGTGTTCTTAGGAATCACACTAAATTCTAAGCTACAATGTGGCTTACATATTGATAAGTTGTCGAAGAGACTCAGTTCTGTAGCATATGTTGTAATGAAAATACGTCAGTTAACGGATATAGAAACTACCAAATTAGTCTACTTTCGTTATTTTCATAGTATAATAATGTCTTAAGGTATTTTACTGTGGGTAAATGACGCCGACATTCAAACTATAGTTGTGTTGCAGACGAAGGCTATTCGATCAATCTATAATCTTAAAGTTAAGGAATCCTTAAGAGATAAGTTTAAAGAAATAGGCATAATGATGGCTGCATCACAATACATATATAAACACTTATTATTTGTAAAAAAAATAGGTTATTTACTAAGAATTTGTGAAAACATACACTTCATACTAGAAGTAAAAATAATTAAACTTTACCTACTACAAGGCTCTACAAAATAAATAATTCGTTTGGAGGTCTCTGTGATCGCTTTTACATTAGAGTCCCAAGCAATATTCAAGAGTAAAGTCCGATTAATAAATTTAAATCGACCATTACATTATAATATCACTTGTTAAGAAAGCTTATTATAACGTGTATGTTTATATTACAGACAAAATACTTGGGTTTGAACTGTCCCAACCATTCCAACGGGTATTTATATATAATATATATTATGCATCATGTGTTGACGATACTACCTACTCGTATAATTGAATTTAAAAGCTGTATTTATAGTTGATTACTTAAGGAAGAATATCAGACTATTTAAGAACATTTGAATGACAAAACGGCGTGGTCGTGGTTTCTTCATTAATTTTGAAAAACAGCACACAAAACAACACTTCAAAACAGGGGGGGAAAACAGCCCTTGCTGAGTTTCTTGCCGGTTCCTCTCTTAGTACAAGGTCTCCTGCCGTAGATTTACGACCCGATGGCGTAGCTTCTATACATTCATGAGTGCTTGTAACAGCCTAAACCGAATAAATTATTTTGATTATTAAAAACAAATTGCCAAAATTATGAGGAAAGGTTGCACGAGTATTATCATTCTGAAATAAGCTTTAAGTTTTTTTTGTAATTCCCTTAAACTGAAATGGTATTTTTGCTATCACTTGTATCTTAATACAGCATAACTATTTACATAACCATTTACGTTTAAATAATAATTTAAAAAGCAGATATTAGGCATATACGCATATCATAAAGAATTTTAAATCTCAGTCAAATACCTACTTACTTCAGATAAAAGCTTTTGTTAAAGCAGGCGTTAACCGATAGAGCACGCCTCTGGCAGATCTACTGCTAAGTCGAACTCCCTGAGGGTCGCTACTTATATCATTATCGCGCTGAACAATCAATTGGCATAAAGTATGAGTCACGTCTTAAAAGAAAATTTATTTGCTCAGGTACAGCTGAGTTGGATATTTAAGATCCACCCAGTAACAGCATTTTGTAATTATGGATAGCCTTATTAAGTTTCAAGAATGCTCAAAATGTAATTAATTTAGTATTAAAACTACTTTATGATGAAACTTACACCTTTATCCTCAAATATAGTACATTTTGATTGATGTTATATAATTTTATGAATAATCCTTGTAAGGAGCTTTTAAACTCATAAGTTTATAAGGATTTAGCTTATAAACTTATATAAAGCTACTACGTAAATTGGTAGTAAAAGTAATAGCAGGCTGTACACAAATGTAAGTATCTTACATTTTAATTAAATTGCTGCTCAAACTCTTTGTCGAATCGTCAACTTATTGCTAACGATATTTTTGTAAATGAAAGAAAATAACGAAAACATTGTATGGGTATTTGTATATGGTTTTATTTATACCAAAATGATAAAAACATAAAAAAGACCTCTTAACTTCAGCATTCTGAAATAAATTAAATTATAATAACAAAGAACATGACACCGAACTCCAAACATGACGAAAATTTAAAGTGAGTTACACAAATCCATTAGAGGGATATCAAATATCGAGTAGACCTTGTCTTGTATGATAAAAAACTGGGGAAAGTTTTTTGTTTATTAAATAAAAAAATAATGTTATTTTAGGTACCTATGGCATTACAAAAAATATGTTACAAATTTAAAAATGCTGTAAGATTAATGTTATATTCAATATATATTTACCATACAAAAAAAAACAGTGGTTATAAACCTCTTTAGTGTTGGACTAAAATATCTCTTATCTATTAGACAAGTCCGTCCGTCCGTCTGTGGTGCTGTTTCAGCGGCCAAACCGTAAGAGATAGATAAAGAGAATATTTAAGTTATAAGTTAAGAATAGTCTGATAAGACTACAAACCGGATTTGAGTAACGTAGCACTTCCGGTTTTCGAGAAATCATGAATTTCAAACGAAACCACACAAAATCTCCGAAGTTCTCAGTTAATTAAATATACATTTTTTTTTAAATCAGGTTTTGGTGAACATTTGGTTCACTGGTTTGCTAGTGTTTAATATAATTTAGACATTTGAATCCTTTACTGGATATAAGGAACTTTTATGATCTTCCTTACAAACATTCTACCTACTTGAAGTATTTCAAATACATTTTTAAGCCAATATTTTTCTACTTAATAAAGCACAACACCAAATCAAAAAAAGCGGCCAAGTGAGAGTCGGATTCGCCCATGAAGGGTTCCGTAGCAGCAAGTGACATAATATAAAACCTGCCCCCTGCGCGGTCTGCACCCGTTACCGATCAAGCCTAGCCCCGCGCAAATTATAATTATTATTTACTTATGAAGCACCTATTACAGATTTATTATTAGAAAATAATGGTTCACGGTTTATGTTTATGTTTATCAAATTAAATGTATTATTTTTATATTTGAGTTGATTGAATGAAAGGTAAATAGCGGTTTACAATTTATGACGTATTAAAAAAAACTACTCACTAGACCTCGTTCAACCCATTTTCGGTGGAAGTTTGCATGGTAATGTACATCATATATTTTTTTAGTTTAATCATTCTTTCATTTTAGAAGTTACAGGGGAGGGATACACATTTTACCACTTTGGAAGGTTCTCTCGCGTAAACTATTCAGTTTAGAAAAAAATAAATATTAAAAACCTCAATATCATTTTTGAAGACCTATCCATAGATACATCACACGAATGGATTTGATTTAAAAAAAAATGTGTGCGTGTACTAGTGTACACACGTAAGAAGTGAAACTTCTTTATGGCCTTATTTTTCGAAAAATGATCTACATGCAACTTTCCAGAAATTGGTTAAATAAAGTTAAATTAGATAAAGTTTAAACAAAATGATTTTATTATCATAGACATGAATACAAATTACTGCCTATGAAACTGTTATGATTAGTATCGCTGGGCGAGTATCGCTGAGCGAGTATCGCTGAGCGAGTATCGCTGAGCGAGTACCGCTGAGCGAGTATCGCTGAGCGAGTACCGCTGAGCGAGTATCGCTGAGCGAGTATCGCTGAGCGAGTACCGCTGAGCGAGTATCGCTGAGCGAGTATCGCTGAGCGAGTATCACTATGCGAGTTATCTTTAATAACTATTGTCACTCAGCTACAAACGAGTAGAGAGAGTTCTCGCCGGCGACAGTGTAATCATTCAGCTATCAACTATTAATATAAAAAAAGATGGCGCGTAACGGAAAAATGTGACGCGTAACCGAAAAATGTGACGGTAAATTTTTT